AGAGAGAGAGAGAGAGAGAGAGAGAGAGAGAGAGAGAGAGAGAAACATAATATACATACGCTACTATGAGATGTGTAAGAAAGGGATGGTTTATGGTCCCATGAGCACTCAATGACAGAATTTGACTGAGATCAGAAAAGACTTTAAAACTAGCATTGGAACATGAAGGAGTGTGAGTTAAGTAGGTGAAGAGAGAGTTTGCATGCAATGGAGCATGCAAGGGACCTGTGGCAAGAGGAGCACAGTATGTGCAAGGATGGGGGAAAGGCTGTTGTAGCTGGAGCTGAGGGAGAGAAGGAGCAGGAAAAGCTACCAAGGATTTCAACCAGATTGAGGAGTGGGTATAGGGAGGAAGCAGTCAGATGTGCAGCATAGGAAATGGATTGGAAGAGGTGGAATGGATGCTGGTCTTGTCGGAAGGCTGATGTCTATAGGCAAGAGATGATGGAGACCTAGATTGTTGTATTGGTGTTGGAGTTAAGGGGAAGGAAAAGAGGTGAGGATGAACACTGCCTGGTGCCTGTGCTGAGCTGGCTGTGGGGGACATGATGTAAAAGAAGGGTGTTGGGGTCTGTACACTGCCTGGGTGGCCAGAAGGGGACAAGGCCCACTAGGAATGTCATTCTGTGACAATAGGGGCTTGTATCTGCTGTGCTCACTGCTAGTACCTGGCACATAGTAGGTGTTCAATAGATATTTGTTGAATGATGGTATTGACACAAAAGAGACTGTGAAGCCCATGTTTTGGGAGGGCTATCCTAAATCCACACACATGCACACATGCTTAATATATGTGTCTATAAACAGTCAAGAAGAGTTGCCAAGTATATACTTCAGGGTAAAGATGGGTACTAACACTATTAACATTTGCCAGGTGTTTGTTTTAGGTGGTCGTTGAAGTCAGGTAGAGATCATCCATTCTAAACACCAAGTGAACAAACCCAAGTTCCTATCCTCATGGGGTTATAGTCTAATGGAGGAAAACAATGAGTAAAGAACCAAATAAAGCCCTTATTCATAGCACTCATGACTACCTGACATTTTCTTAACTAATATACCTAAGAAGAATTGAGTAGTCGGGTCTTCCAAGAATAGGTTTGGCCCAGAAATATTAATTTGAGGGTCATTTAAGGGTCACTGGATAAGTTTTGATAGAGTTGAGGTAGACTGCCATCCTACACAGACTGGTTTGTGAACTATATACTAATTAAGGATAATTTGAGTAGTCTTTGAAGCAGATGAAGAGTAGGTCATGTGGTTCAGTTAGTGAAGGTGTTCTAGGCAGAGGGAACAGCAAGTGTAAAGTTCTTGAGGTGGCTACACACTTCCATGTGGGCAAGACGATAAGAGGCCCATGAAGCAGGAGCAGGGAGCCTGGTTAGTAAGTATGAGGTCAGTGAGCTACCCCTGAGGGGAGGGAGGAGAGCATATGGGGCTCTTCAGTCACTGTGAGAACCTCAGTCTCGGCTCTGAGGGACAAGAGAGCTGAGTTGTCTGCTGAGGACTAGGGCAATGGTGTCTGAGGCCAGAAAGACAGCAGTGGTTTGAAGAAGTCTGAGAACTGTGTGGGACACATACTTCCCATCTATAGGTTAAACTGAGGCCAGAATCACGCATACCCCATGTGGTGGAACGGAGTCTTGAATTAAAGACAGTGTTACCTGAAGTCCCCATGTTTCTTCCACTTCACAGTGGATTTATTCTTTTTCTTACACACCCAAGATGAAAAGAGAGGGCATTAAAAACATCACAGAGCCAGTGGGAAGATCTCTGGAATAGCAGAGAAGAAAGGGCTAGAAGAGGCTAATCCCGCAGTAGCCAGCTGCTCAGCTGCCTGCAGAGTGGGTCACTGTTCCCGGACGCACAGCTCTCTGGCTGGCTTCCCAGAGCGACCCTGAGAGCAGATTGCCAACAGCTTCCCCCGGTAAAACCAGCACAAGCTTTACAGATACGGTGCTTTTTAAAATGCCATTTCTCATTAATCCCCATCCCTACAATCCCCAGAGTCTCCAGCAATTTGCATATTTACTGTTCTGTGGGCACACACAGTGAAATGAGGAGAGGGCTCACAGCAAAGTCTGTTTGGCACGGCTTCCCCCTTAAGTCTCGATTTCTGTTCATTTTCACAAAGACGTGTTGTGCAGTGCATGGCCGTGCCCGGTGGGGAGGACAGAGAACTGATTATAGTTCACCCATAACGTGGACTACCCTACATCCATTAGAGACCACAGTTCCGAAGAACAACAATGTTGAGAAGCTCTCAGACTGACTGCTGCAGGATCAGGATCGCAAGAGAGAGAGGAGGAGGAGGGAGGAGCAGAAAGGAGGGGGAAAGGGAAAGAGATTCCCAGAGAACGAGTCATAAAAGGCAGTAATAGAGGCCAACCCTGAAGGCTGGATTACTGGTGATTAAATTTTCTTTTTTATACTACTCTGTATCCACTAGGCTTTCTATGAGGTGTATGTATTACTTTCGTAATCAAAATGGCAATAGATGGTATTTTAAAACAGAAATACACGGCATAATATTAGTCCTCCAGGGATTTGAAACTTACTAGGGGAGATGCACATGTAAGAAAGCAGCCAGGATAAATGACAGGCTGTGTTCCAGGCTTTTTGTGGCTGGCTCTGCAGAGTGGATGGACTCCTAAGCCTGCAAACTCCTCGCCTTCCTGGTTTATCGTTGATGGCCACTTGAGCCTCAGTCCCGGCTGCCTGTAGGTGTGGAACCAAGGTGTGTTCCTTGTGGGAACAAGACTCCCTCTGCTACCTTAGCTCCTGAGACTTCTCTGGGTCCCCTGAGCTTACATCATGATGAGTTGGTGGGTTCTGCCAGTCCCTCTAGTAATAACAGCTTGCCCTCTTCCATCTCACTCCTGGTTCTCCACAGTTCTGAAGTGAGTTGTCTCACTGAAGAAGCAGTCAAAATGGAAAAGATCAAGTTCCAGCATATCGTATCCATCTATGGGGTATGTAAGCAGCCCCTGGGCATTGTGATGGAGTTCATGGCCAATGGCTCCCTGGAGAAGATGCTGCCCACCCACAGCCTCAGCTGGCAACTCAAGTTTCGCATCATCCATGAGACCAGCTTGGCCATGAACTTCCTCCACAGCATTAAGCCGCCTCTGCTCCACCTGGACCTCAAGCCAGGCAATATTCTGCTGGACAACAACCTGCACGTCAAGGTGAGACCCTGGCCAGTCTCCTTGCCCTTCGCCCTTGCATGCTAGACTTCCTCCAGGTAAGCAAGACTCTCTGTCTGCTACCTGAGCTCTGCTATCTGCACCTGGACAAATAGTGAACTCAGGGGTCACACCCAAAAGACAGGTAAGCAGAAAATTTTGAGGCACGAGACTGAGGGTCATGGCGCCTGCAACAGTACTCTCTGGGCCTCAGTTGTCCATTTCCAAAATGGGTAGAATAATCTCTACCCCTCGCACTCTTTGCTTGGGGAAGGGGTATATGTAAATGAGATAACACATTTAAAAGGTCATAATGACCCCTTTTTCCAGCTCCCGAAACACGCTACGCTCTTTCTTGGCCCTAGTATTTGTGCATATTCTGTTACACCAGTCCTCTTTATCTAGCAAGGTTCTAATCATCTTTCAACTTTTAGCTCCTTAGGGAAGTCTTTCCTGATCTACTCCAACAGGACCCTCTTCAGTACCCCCATTATGCCTCTGTTTCTTCATTTTGCTGATCCCTGTGGCAAGGATGTAATCATTTTATGAAACTCTTTTTCTATTTTTTTCTTTTTGAAAGACAAGCAACGACAGTTAAGAAGTAGAGAATCACAGCCCCCTGAGGCAAGGAGGGGTCTTGAAAATGAGCAGTCCTCATTTGTGAAACTCTTTCTTAATGAGTGTGTACCCTTCTTGAATATCCATCCTTAGGGTATATTTGGAGGGTGTCTCAGTAGCCCACCCCGTTGACCCTCAATGAACAGCAACTGGGGAATAAATGGCTGAAAGACTGGGAGTGGCCCACAAACACACATGGCATGAGTGCTTCAGGGGCCTCAGAGACAGGAAGAACAAGGTCACCGAGATGAGCTGATCCATGGTAGCCCTGGATAGTGACAAGCACCTACTAAGTCCTTACTTTGTGCTCCAAGCACTGTCTGCATGTCACCTCATTTAATGCCCACAATTGCCTCTAAGTTAAGTACTCCTGCTATTTCCATTCTATAGATGAGGAAATAGAGGCTCTGAGAAGATAAGTAGCTTATCCAAGGTTTTCCAGGCACTGAGTGTAGAACTAGGGGACAGTAGAGAGGAAAACCATGCACTGTACTGTAACAGGACATGCTGATAGGGGCAAGAAGGAGCCACAGCTGACTTATGGAAAGTGGAACTCTGTTGCCTCCCTGTCTTGGCATCTGGCTTTCTCCCAGATTTCAGACTTCGGCCTGTCCAAGTGGATGGAACAGTCAACCCGAAAGCAGTACATCGAGAGGTCAGCTCTGAGGGGCACGCTCAGCTACATCCCCCCTGAAATGTTCCTGGAGAGTAACAAGGCTCCAGGGCCTGAATATGATGTGTACAGGTTAGTGGGCACCTGGACTCTGTGTCACATGATCAGGGTACTATCTTCAACCTTCTCTCTGTGGCCAACAAGCAGAGCAGGACAGGAGTGAGGTCTGGTACTTCCATACCAGGACAGAAGGGGAAAGATGATGTTCTGGGGGGACTTTTCCTGGGATTGTGGGACCCATGGGGTTCCCCCTGCCTGCAGTGATCATGGATAACAGACCAAGTCTCTCTGGGAATATTTTCTCCTCCGCAGCTTTGGGATTGTCGTGTGGGAGCTCCTCACTCAGAAGAAGCCATATGCGGGTAATAAATGACCACGGCTCTGTGTCTGGGGTGGGGACAGTCTCCTGAGGCGGGGTCCCGGGAGGCTATGGGAGGCTGAGGTTGGGGAACCATGACATAAACTCTTCAGGGATTTCTACCTTACCCTGCTTCCTTGCACCATCAATGCTAGAGCTTTTGTAACAGTGAAAGGCAATGCAAACCGTAGCCTCTATCTTACCTTATGACTCTGATGTGTGGAGTCCCTGTACCTTGAAATGTGGAAAACTGAAGCCTTTTGCCTATTGGTCCACCCTATTGCCTTTACATGGAAAAGGGATAGTGGAGATCACATGGGTCTTGGCCAGAGCTGGACCAGGGATTCAACTGTTCAAACCAGAGCCTCAAGCAAGTCTTAGATCTAGCTATCTACTCACTGGGCATGTAGAGAACACTTACAGCATGCCTACCCAGTCAGGATCCTTCCAGCCACTACCCTCTTGCAGTTCCTCTGTCCCTGACATAGCACCTCCACAGCTTGACCCCTGCCTCACAGGACTCAACATGATGACCATCATCATCCGTGTAGCTGCGGGTATGAGGCCCTCCCTGCAGCCTATCCCTGCTGAGTGGCCAGACGAAGCCCAGCAAATGGTGAACTTGATGACTCACTGCTGGGACCAAGACCCCAAGAAGAGGCCATGTTTTCTAGGTGTCTAACCATGCTTCCTTGTCTCAGGCTTGGGGACGGAGAAACAGGGGAAGGCCCTCTCCGGAGAGACATGCAGAGATGCCCTTGGCACTAGGGGCCAGAAAGATATGTAAGGCACATCTTCAGGGTGGGCCTCGGAGGCAGACTTTCAGAGCCTGGCAACTGAGGATGGATATATTCAGTGTATGTCCACTGTGTGCCTAGGGGGTGGAGACAGCAGCAGAAGCCAGTGTCTGAGACTGACCCTGCTGCTGAGCTTTGCAGTCAGCCTTGAGCACTTGTGGTGCTTGAGGGTCTATGAGGTCAGAGGCCTGGAAGTTATCTGGTCCTCTAGGGACTAGATGACACACACAGGTATGAGCATCTTAGAGACCACCTGGTCCTTCCCCTCTCCTATGGAAAATAAGACTGACCTTCAGAGGGTCAGTGATTTCCCAAATGTATCCCTGCCATGCCAAGGCTGGGGCTTTATTTCTTACCTCCTGGTGAGTAGGTAGGGATATGCATAGACCTAGGAATGTACTTAAGGGGACACAGGAAATGCTAGAGCATCTAAAATGAGAAGGGAACCTTTGGGCAAACCTGTTACCTCATTCTTCTCTTTCCTTTGTGGAGCAGATGTCACCACTGAGACAGACATGCTGCTTTCCCTGCTCCAAAGCCCCGTGACAGACCCTGAAAATGAAGTCTTGGCCAGGAAGGTGTCCTGCAAGCCTTCCCTGCGCCAGCCTCAAGAGGTAAGTGTGGCAGGCTGAGCTGGCCACTGTTGGGCTGCTGGAGGCTGCTGTGTGACCTCTGCAGTCTCTGTTGGGACAAGGAGAGCACAAGCAAAGGTTGTCACTCACAAGGCTACCTGGCTGTGAGGGGGCACAGGAACTTCAAACCAAGCTAGGGCATATTCTACTTTCCAAACTAGGGAGGCCAGCTGGGGGTCTCCTGAATCCACAGGGGACCATATACTCCCCAATGTACCCAGCGGTGCTCTGCTCTAAGGGCCAGGTATGCTGTGGCTCAGAGTCCCAGAGAAGGACATGATTCTCTCATACATATGGAGAGCTGCAGAGGGAGACCTCAGCTATCCTAAGCTGTCACTCTGGATGTCAGCATCATCTTTCATCTCTCCTGCCCCGGGAACTATCAGGGACTCTCGGGGGCTCCACAGATCCACCCTGAAGGTCAGACCCCAGGATGTCCCTGCTTGCCATTTTTTCTAGATTTGGGGTTTGGGGGCAATAGTATAGGATGGTCTTCCAGGTAGGGTGGGCTGTGACTCCTGAGAGGTAACAGAGCACTGGAGGGAGGAAAGGTGGGGAGGAAAGGGAGGACCAGAACTGGCCGCCACTGAAATTCCACATACCTGTTGGTCTACCTCCCCAGGTCAGCAAGGGAGTCAACCAGGAGCCTGCAGACAGCAGTGAGTCTGGGGTACTTCTGTGGGACCAGAGACTCCACAGGGAGGAAGTAAAATCCATCTATTCCCTTTGTTTATCCTCCCTGCTCTACCCTCTTCCCCAGGCCTATCATACATAGGGGTGGGGTGGCCTTTCCCAGCACCCAAGTGCATGACCCAGAAATGCTCATGCCCCTGAAGTTCTGGCTCAGCAACCCCTTCATGTCTGCGTCCTGACAAGACCGGATTCCCGTTTCTGCAGTGAGAGACAGAATACTGGCTGTCAATACTGGCTTTGTGTTAGAATTTCTTGGTGGGATTAAAGGATGTCCCGGGTCTGTTCCAAACATATTAAATAAGAATCTGTATGTGTGGCGGTGGGCTTTGGTGGTAGCCATTGTTTAATTCTGATACACATTAGGTGGAGGATGAAGTGAGGCCTGGAGATCTAGGGGGTAGTTTATATCACCCAAGTCCAGCCTCCAGTGCAGTTCTGACTTCCTCTGGCTTTCGTCCTCCCAGATCCTCCTCTGAAAGTTCTTACCTACCTACTTTGGCTTTACACTGGGAGAATGGTCCAACATTGCTCATCTCCCTTTACAGAACTGGGTGCAGAGGCTCAAATGGGGTAGTGAATTAGCATAGGCCAAGGGATGCTCAGGGGTAGAGTGAGGTTTGCACCCAGGCTTCCCAGGCCTGGCTTTTCCCACCTCCGAGTTCTGGCGTACTCAGCAAACCATAATACCATAAAAGCCTTTGCCTCACCCTACTAGTCTCTGTTTTTGCAAAGTGTCTGCAAGAAGCAGGGAGCTGGCTAAGATGACCTCTGGATAGACTATTTTATTGTTGCTTTCAATCCACCTTTCTCTGAGCAGACTCAAGTGACTCCTTGAAACGGGTCCTGCAGCTTTTGGACAGCCAGAGCTTGGACCCAGTTGATGAAGAGCTGCACATCTATGAGAACAAAGTGACTCCCCTCCACTTCCTGGTGGCCCAGGGCAGTGTGGAACAAGTGAGGCTGCTGCTGGCTCATGAGGTTGATGTGGACTGCCAGACAGCCTCTGGCTACACACCCCTCCTTATTGCCGCCCAGGACCAGCAGCCTGACCTCTGTGCCCTGCTCCTGGCACATGGTGCTGATGCCAACCTGGTAGATGAGGATGGCTGGGCTCCACTGCACTTTGCAGCCCAGAATGGGGATGACCGCACTGCCCGCCTGCTCCTGGACCATGGGGCCCTGGTGAATACCCAGGAGCATGAGGGCTGGGCCCCACTCCACCTGGCTGCACAGAACGACTTTGAGAATGTGGCACGGCTTCTGGTCTCACGTCAGGCTGACCTTAACCTGCATGAGGCTGAGGGCAAGACACCCCTCCACGTGGCTGCCTACTTTGGCCACATTGGCCTGGTCAAGCTGCTGACAGGCCAGGGGGCTAAGCTGGATGCTCAGCAGAGAAACCTGAGGACACCCCTGCATCTGGCTGTGGAGAGGGGAAAAGTGAGAGCCATCCAACACCTGCTGAAGACTGGGGCATCTCCCAATGCCCTTGACCGCAGTGGCTGTGGCCCACTGCACATGGCCGCAGCCAAGGGCAAGTACCTTATCTGCAAGATGCTTCTCAGATACGGGGCCAGCCTTGAGCTACCCACTCAAGAGGGCTGGACACCCCTGCACCTAGCAACTTACAAGGGCCACCTGGAGATCATCCACTTGCTGACTGAGAGCCATGCAAACCTGGATGCTCTTGGAGGTATGCACTGGACGCCCTTGCACCTGGCTGCCCGCCACAGGGAAGAAGTAGTGGTGTCAGCCCTGCTAAGGGGTGGGGCCGACCCCAATGCTGCTGAGCAGTCAGGCTGGACACCCCTCCACCTGGCGGTACAGAAGGGTGCCTTCCTGAGCATCATCCGCCTGCTGGAGCACCGTGCTGATGTCCACGCATGCAATAAAGTGGGTTGGACGCCTGCTCACCTGGCTGCTCTCAAGGGCAACGCAGCCATCCTCAAAGTGCTGGTCAAGGCTGGTGCCCAGATGGACACCAAGGATAAAGTGGGCTGCACACCCCTGCAGCTGGCCCTTCGGACCCAAAAACAAGGCATGGCGGCCTTCCTGGAGGGCAAGGAGCCATCACTGGCTCTTCTGGGAGGTACTGAGCCTGGATCCCCAATGGATGTTTAAGCATACTAGGGTATCCTCACCTGGAGGGGGAGAGATTGGTGGAAGTGAAACTTGGCTTCTGAGAGCCCCTCCTCCACCTGCCCATTTGACCTTGAGAGGAACCAGTGTCCTGGGGGATGGAAGGAAGGCAGGGGAGAGGCACCACTGAGGTTGTAGCAGGGGAAGCTACAACCTGCCTAGAGGAATGTTTCCAGCTTTCAAGCAACTCCAGCAAAACCTTGGCTCTCCCAGTCTTTTAGAGGGGCTCATGCCCCCAAGATGAGCCTCAAGCCACCTCTTACCACTTGCCCCTGTGTTCATGAGGCCCTTGCATGTCAAAAAACCCCTCTATAATGAAGAAGTTCCTGGGGATGAAGGAAGAGGGCTCCTCTCAGCTCCAATCTTGTACTCTTGATCTTTGACCTCAGGCTGGGGCAGGAGAGTCAGGCACCTGCTTTCACAGGAAGCAGACTCTCAGAGCTCAGAGGACATGTCTGCTCACTGTTAAAGTCTCAGCCAGGCCCTTGTAACTATTGACCACACCTGCCGGTAGCACTGATCCTAGCATCTGGTCGCCTACACATTCCTTGGGAGTGAAGAAAAGGTGTGCCCCAACTGATCATACATGGAGCACCAATTTCCTGGTCTCCAGCCCCACACTTCTTTGTGTCCAGTTATACCTACTGGCAGATTTCAAACCTGGAATGAATAAAGCTGATGATCTGATTCTCCCCATTAGAGACTGAGTGGGTGTCAGTAGGAACCAGTGGGACTAGCCCAATACGTTTGTGTGTATATAACTTTGGCTGTGCTGAAAGTATGTGTACAATACATACTTGTGAGCTCACATGGGAGACCAGTGGGACTAGCCCAATACGTTTGTGTGTATATAACTTTGGCTGTGCTGGAAGTATGTGTGCAATACATACTTGTGAGCTCACATGGGAGGGAGGTGCAAGGGATAGATGAGGGAAATTCATTGACTGTGCCTGTATGTATGATTTGTCTGATGTAGTCTGTGTGCATATATAATACTTACATGTGAATTCATGTGGAAGGAGGAAGGGCAGATAAGAGAAGTTGCAGGTGTGTGTATAATGCAGTATGCATATACAATACCTTTGTGAATTCATGGGGAAGAGGAGGCAGAGTATCTAAGAGGAAATAGAGGTATGTATATAGAATATATGTGTGCGTGATGTGTGTACGTTCACCTGAGGGGAGGCCGCTGAGGGGATGGTTGTAGTAAGAAGAGGATTGTCCGGGCTTGGCATAGAGCTGCAGTGGCAGGAACTTCCTCTCTTCCTTAGCAGCTGTTCAGAGAGTAACTTTCTGTGAACAGTTACAGGCCACGCATCCATTGGCCTGGCCCACTAGTTGTGAGCAGGTTTAGACAAGGCCTGGACTGTTCATAGCCACTGTGTGTTGGGGACCCTGGTCCCATGGTCATGAAGCAGCTGACTGCTGGGAGGGTATGAGGAGGACAAATGCTCTCCTCTGTCTCTCCACATGGCACAAAAGCCCCTCTAGTTCAAGGGCATTTTATAATGTCAACTAAAGTATCCCTGATGTACTAACGAGTGGCCAGCTCTGACCCCTGAGCCCATCGGTAGACATACCTTTGTGTGTTGTCTTGTTCTTTTGGGCTGGATGCTCTAGGCTAAGTACTTCCTTCTTCCCACCCCATCAGCAGCCTAGAGTGAGAGACAGGGCAGAGGAGAACCACTGCCCCACATACCCTGCTGAGGGCACAGTCTCTTTTAGCAGCATCACTTCCTCCATCCTAGGCCAGTGCATTCTGGGAAGGAAGGGGAAATTCTCTTTCCAGACCTTAGAGTGGACTGTGACCCTGGGACACACCTAAAGCAGTGCCAAGGCAGCTACAGGGCAAGGGCAAGCCACTAGTCACTCATGTCCACTGAGTCAGTGGTGAGGATGATCCCACAGGCTGCAGTACCAAGAACCCCAGAGCCAAACAGGATTCGGTGTAGATGAAGCTAGGGAGCCACATCTGCATCCATAGCAACAGAATAGGATGAAGGCAGGGGCTGCTTCAGAAAGCCAGGGGACTCTACATGCACACAAGGGACAGGCAGGTGAATGCAGCAACTTCAGAGAGAGGCTGAGAAGCAGGAAGAGAAGGAGGGTGGACCCAGGAAGGAGTCAGGTCAGGTCTATGTGCTCAGCTTTCCTGGATGTGAATCCAGAGCACCTGCTCTGTGAGGACACTGGATGACAGACATGGCACTGTCCTTCTCTAGTTCACCCTATCCTTTCTCCTGCCTTGGATGCAGCTCAGAGCCTGACCGCCATGTGGCTGTCTTCCTCACATTGTGCACTCTTGGGGCAGCAGGACAATGTTTGGCGGTGAGGCTGCTCAGATAACCCAGAAGGTGACAGTGTGGCTCCTTAGCTTTATTTCTCCATGCCTAGGCCCCACTTCTGTTACAAAATTGTCCTACCTCCTCCCCTGCCTTGCTGCTGTTCTCCATTGCTAAAGGTCATCTGACTCCCTTGAGAGGCTTGGTCCTTCTCTCTGGCTCCATTTACCTTCAGATCTCAGGATGGAATGATTCCAGGATATACCCCTAGGAGAAAGTCCCAAACTAGTGCTGTGGTCATGTAGTTGGCATTTTTTTTTTCACTTTTTTTTTTTCTTTTTGAGACAGGCTCTCTCTGTAGATAGACCAGGCTGGCCTTGAACTCACAGAGATCCGCCTGCCTCTGCCTCCCAAGTGCTGGGATTAAAGGCATGTGCTACCACGCCCGACTTTTCTTTTTTAAAAAAATATTGTATTTCTCACCTGCCTCTGCCTCCCAAGTGCTGGGATTAAAGGCATGCGCTACCACGCCCGACTTACTTTTCTTTTTTAAAAAAATATTGTATTTCTCGCTATATATTTTGTCTTTGTCTTTTTGAGACTGGGTCTTCCTGTAGCCCCAGCTGTCCTGGAACTCACTATGTAGACCAGGCTGGTGTATGAGTGTTTTGCCTGCATGGATGTAAGTACACCCATGTCATGCAGTGCCATGGAAGGCAGAAGAGGGTGTCAGATCCCCTGAAACTGGAGTTACAGACAGTTGTTAACTGCCACGTGGCTGCTGGGAACCAAACCCGGGTCCTCTGCAAGAACAGCCGGTGCTCCACCTCTCCAGCCCCTCCCCTTTCTGCTCTCCTTTATTTGAGACAGAGTCTCCCTATGAGGGCCTGGCTGGCCTGGAACCCACTATGCTTTGGACTTGCTGGACCCCTCCTGTCTCTTCCTCAAGGGCTGGGATTATGATATACGTCCCCACTCCCGGTGCACATGGTACTAGGGATTAGATTCAGGCCTTTCTGCATAGTAGGCAAGCACTCTACCAACTGAGCTGCACCACCAGCCAGCCTTATGGTGTTCATTTGTTAATGGACTTGGGCTTCCTAGAGCTCCAACTTGGAGTAAAACATCTCTCTAGACAGAGTAGGGTTCTGAACAGTAGCTATCACCTTGTTCCCTCCCTCTCTCATCCTGGGCAAAGTGGGGATGGGAGTAGGGAGCTGGTATCATCAGGGTCCCCCTCCCCTTCTCCATTCATCCATAAAGTCAGGGATGGGTCACTCTCTTCATTCCAAACATACCCTATTTTCTCCTCACCAGCTTCCTAATTCACTGGGTATAGCAGAGCCATTCGGTAAGCAGGCGAGGATGCTTAGAAACATAAATACCCAGACTCTAGACTCTCGCCAATTAGTAACTATGTCCCTATTCTGTCCCCACCATCTGCTGAGCAGCCTACTGCTGTTTACATGCCCCAAAGGTCTGGTCTCAAACAGATTTTCTTCCTCTGTCTAAAAAAAATTTTTGAAAAGAAAATCTTGTAACCATGCTAGCCTCTTTCAATTACTGTGAGCTGAATGGATGGCATAAGATGTAGAATCCGGAATCCTGGTGTCAAGGCCCGCTCTGCCACCCAGGCAAACCACACTCCCCAAGTGAGAGGTTTCCCTTCTGGAAGAGCAGAGCACAGGAATGGTCCCTCAGAGACTAGAAGGACAGCACACCATTAGGGAGGACAAAGCCAACAACTTCACACAATACAGTAGGAGCTAAAGTCATAGATACAGCCGCTGACCTAGGACCCTGGAGGAATGAGCTGGTGGCACAGGAAGGACTGGACAGCAGGGAACAGAGTCACACAGCCTCTGGGAACAAGGATTGCCTGGAAATGTGCCTCAGGTAGGTGGGGTCACTGGAAATGCCTCTGTGAGAGGCTAGTCTTCCATGTGCTTGGCTGATCTTATCCTGAGACCACATGGGAAACAGGATCTGCAGTTGCTTCCTCTGAGGGCCTCTCTGCTCCAGCATGCAGGAAGTGCACCCTGCTCTGTCTTCTTCCTTTGCTGGTTCCCCACATGGTTGCTCAAGGTCAGGGCCACTCTGGAGATGCATCACACATCACCCAGGAAAGTGGTGCCCTGGAGCTCATCTCCACCTACTGTGCTTTGTGACTCTCCCCAAGGCCCTGGTAGTAGTCAAAGAAGTGGAGTGATTGTTGTGTGAGTATTAGGTTCACACCTGTCACCTCACAAGACTGTGAGCCCACAGAGGCAGGGATTATAACCCCCTTCTTCATAGATCTATTCCTAGCACCTCACCAAAGACCTGGTACACAATGATCATTCATAAATATTCACTGAGACAATGAATGGGTGGATGGATGGGCACAGTGATGCCATTTCACAGGCTGCTGGACCACTTTTCTTTCTTCCACAGACACTTCCCAGCAGGTGGTCAACTCTGGACTCCTCCAAACGCTCTGAAGAAAGAATAAGGGCTGGAAGCCTTGAAGATTGGCCAGCATAGCTGGATCTGCCCCTTTTGTAGTTATATGACTGTTTCCCATAGGGGATGACCTACACAGACTGCCCAGCTGGGCCTGGCCCTGACAAAGTGACCCCTTTCTACACTGTAAAGAGTGGAGGGACAGGAGAGGTGCTACAGATTCCTCCTGCTGAAAAGGAGAAGGAATTCTCCTGAGACTTAGACAACGCCCACAGAGAGACAGGCCCAGACAGAAACCTAGGGAAAGGAAGTGAAGAGGAAAGTTCTGAGGGTTACTGTCCCACTCCCTTCAGGCGAGGCCAGGGTCAGGGCCTCTTTGGAGAGTCAGAGCCTGGGCTACCCCCTTCCACACTGTGCTCCTCAGTCCCACTCCTCCCATCCCTTTGCTCCCAAAGTGCTCAAGGGGGAAAGGGTGGAGCCCAGCCCTCCCCCTGCCCACTCTAGCTGTCAATCTGCTGTCTGGAAAAAAGACTTGAAGCCTCGTGACAACTGTGGGCAACTCTCCTGCCCCACCTCCCGCCCCTGCCCTGCCCTGTTCCCCTCTTCTCTCTGACAGGGCTCTTCTCTGATTGCTCTGGAGTGTGCCTCCCCATGCCATTCTTGGGCCTCCCTTCTTTCTCTTCTGTCTGTCATCTCCAGTGTTCACAGGTGATAAACTTGAATGCCCTCCTACGATGTCTAATGATGAAACAAACTTTGAAGCTCTCAGCCAGGTCAAGATCATCTATCCATAGACTGAGAACATGATGTATCTCTCTCTCTCTCTCTCTCTCTCTCTCTCTCTCTCTCTCTCTCTCTCTGTTGGTTGTTGATCAGCAGTGGAGAGGTTCCTAGGGTTTCTGAACCCAACAGGAATCTGATCCCTTAGAGGAGGTGGCACTAAATTACTGGTGGCCCTGAGATACCCTAGGAGACCTGTTTTGCTTACCTTCTTGGCATCAGGGTGCTCCTGGGGACAAGAGCCTTTCCCAAGGCTTTGCACTATGCTCAAGTTCAGGGAGAAGATCAAAGTCCATAATTAAATGTTCAGGGCAAGTTAAGTGCTCCAAACTTTGGTGCTAAAAATACTGTATTTAGCATGCAAATTATGCCCTGACAGATCCCCAGCGCCTGAGCCCGTGGGTGCCACTACCTTGTTTATCATTATTACTGCTTCTCGAAGCGCTGAGAACACTCCTCTTTCATTGGGTTGATTTCTATTTCATTTTTAAAGACCTGAGTCCGTTGTCAGAGCAGTGGCAACTTGCAGCCCCTGAAAGCTTGGCACTATAAACTGGCCTGGAGATGCGCATAGGGAAGCCATCCACCACACTCAGGCCTCACTTACCTCCCACCACTCATCCCAGAGATCGGACAAGGGACAGTCAGAAACAGGCAAAGTCAACACCTCAAAATTCACCTTTACCTCAGAACTTTCTCTGTCCTGGTGCCTAAGATTAGTCCTTTAGAGGTACTAAGACTCAGGGAACTGGGGCCACCTCGCTTCCCTCTCATGGTCCCCTGCTAGACACAGGGTTTGGGCTATACCTAAATGCTAAGGATGGTGTTAACACAGTTCCAAGCCACCCAAGGGTCCATGGGGGTAACTCGTCAAAATTTTATTGGTTTGGTGTGTGTACAGTGATGTTACAGAGTTGGGGCCTGGGGCACTCCAAACTATAGCTTCTCCTCCTCCCCCAGCGCCAAGCCCAGAGGTGTAAGCAGCCTCCCAGCCACAGTCTTCTCTAAGGCAGAGGCACTGGAAGGGAAGGGAAACAGGAGAGAGGAGAGGCCAAAAGAAAAGTGGTAGGACACAGTCCCCCAAAGAGCCTCAGGTGACTTCCCCAACTTGAGGTCCAACATGGGTCCAAGACCTGACTTCTCAGGCTGGCCAGCATTTGCTGTGGGAAAGGAATGTGACCAAAGTGTGCCAAAGAGAATGGGCTGGGGGAGCGGGCATAAGCTATTTCCCTTCTTACAACCCCTCTTGGGGCCCTTGGAGGTTAGAGTTGCTCCCCAGAGGGTATGGAAACCACCTGGGGTGCTATAACAGGGTAAGAGAAAGCAGAACCCACTGCTGTGGAAAGTAGGGGTTCATGCCAGAGTTGGGGTGGAAAACAGATATTCAGCCTCAGCTTCTCTGGAGTCCATGGAGCCATCTGGTGTTTACAAGTGTTTCCTAGGACTGATGATGCCTGGGACCTTGGCGAAATCCCACCTTTCCTCTGTGGTCCCTGTAAAGTGTGAGCCACCTTCCCACCGCCCGATCCAACACAAGCAAGCAAGGACCAGGCCAAGCAAACAGTCAGGATGTGCTCAGCCTCTGAGCTGGATTCTGGCCCCAGGAACTCCAGTGCCCCAGAAAAAGATCAAGGAAGGCCTCTGCATCTTTGGTGCCAAGGAGATGGGGTCTGGAGGTGGGAGGGGCACTCTGTGAGCTGCCCTGAGCCATGGGTCCAACCCCAGACCTGGTTCAACACCTGTCTCCATGGCCCTACCCTGGCAGAGTGAGGGTGTGCCAACAGAGAAGGGCACGGAGCCAAGCTAACACTGCAGGGCCTGCAGGGTCAACAGAAGGCCAAGTCCATCCAGGCCTTTCTGTCCATGGCTTGCAAGGATGAGGCCCGGCCTGCCCAGGCAGGGAGGAAGGAAGCAGCTGCTGTGCAGGTGAGCGGCAGAGTCAGCAGTGCAAGATCTTCATGAAGGCCTTGCGGAACTCGATGTTGAAGGTGGTATAAATGATGGGGTTCACGGCGCTGTTGACATAGCCCAGCCACGTGAAGGTGCTGTAGAGGACCGGTGGGATGTTGCAGTCACAGTGTATGTTCAGGATGTGAGTGATGAAGAAGGGCAGCCAGCAGATGATGAACACGCCTGGGGAGAGGGCAGGATCAGACTGGTCCCAGGTCAAGGAGAGGCTGCCCTGGATGGGCTCTGTACACCTGTCTGTTCTATCACAGGCTTCCCTGAGACAAGGAGACTGCTAACCACTGGCCGTTGCCCCAGGATCACTGCAAAAGGAGGTCTTGAATTCTAAACTTGCTTCTGACAGCTTCTGTTAGGGAGGGGTCCCTGCACCTCCCTCAGCTTCATTTTCCTTATCTGCCAAATAGACATGACACTTGTCTGCTAGGGAAAGGTAGGTGAGAAACGTTAGCATTCTGACCTAAGTCACCATTGCAAGTGGACACGCTGAGTACTTCCTAGTCACCTTTGAGGTCAAGGTTATCCTCAAGTTGGTGGCACTGGAGGAAATTTGTTTGTGGAAGTGTAAAACATACAGTTCAGAAAAAGGGAGCGCTAAATGCCCATCTTAATTTTTATGGTGGTGCCATGACTTTGATGGGAAACTGAGGGTCATGATGGCTCTGCAATGTCCCCAGGGCCACTTCACACGTGAGTGGCAGAGCTGAGACCTAAATTCCCATCCATCTAGCCTTCCAAATGGCTGGGCACAGATTCACAGTCTTGGTGGACATGCCCTTGCTGGTCCTATCCAGAGACCATGCCCTCTCACACAGGCAGTCCTCCCCCTTGCTCCAGGACTACCTGCTCCATAGGTGGCACACTTAGTGTGTGGGTGTGGTGATGTCTTAGGGACAGAGGGGTGTTTAGTAGGAGCAGGGCCCCAGAGTAGAACCCTTGTGGACTGCCACACTGGGCCTGGTTCCAAAGCCACCTTGCCAGGCTTCAGCTATGTGATGATAGACAAGATCTTAACCTGCTGGGACCCAAGCTCCTATTCATAAAGCAGGGGTACTAGCACTGATCATTCACATCCTAGGACCAGCAGGTCATCAAAGGGGAATCACAGTGTCACATGGACGGCAAATTCACTTCCTTCCCTTCTTTCCCAATCACCTGTATCTGTCTACCTCTTAATTTTTGTCCTTTATGACAGTTTTCTAGAAGAACTTTAGTTTTTTAAATTATATTCTATTTATTTTTTTTTTTATTTATTTATTTATTTATTTATTTATTTATTTATTTATTTATTTAGTGCCTGTATGTGGGTGTGGGCACTTGGGGTCACAGTGTATATGTGGAGGTCAGAGGACAACTAGGAGGAGTCAGTTCTCTCCTTCTACCATGTGGGGCCCAGAGATCAAACTCAAGTTGTCAGGTTTGGTGGTGAATACCTTTGCCAGCTGAGCCTCTCACCAAAAGACTTGCCTCATTCAAAAGTCTTGCCTAGCAGATCTTGCTCCACCTCTCAAGGACACATTTTATTTTTCATAGCTCTTGTCCCACTTGGTTGTCTTGACTTGGTTGAGTGTGAATGTATATTTCCCAGTTCCTCAGCAATACCAATAGTAACAAAATACACGATAATAACACAAATGTGTATTGCATTCTCCAAACTATACTATCCTGACTATGACAATGAGAGGTAACCTGCTCCTCAGACTGGGAGACCTGAAAGGGAAAGCACTTACCTGGAGACACAAGGTTATGGGACCTTACTGTAGACCAATGAAGCTTACAGACTCTGCAGTCAGACTGAGAGTTGACCATAACCAAATTATATAACTACATGAAACTCTGCTTTGCCCACCTGTACAATTGCCACAATAATAAATTCTACCTATAAGCTATCTGTATGGCAATGGGTATGGCCTATTACTGAGGAAGTCCTGGACCCTCCAGCCATGGTCAACAAGGCAGAGATTGGGACCTAAAGGGATGGTGTCTTTCCCAAGCCTGGGAAGGGCAGGGCTGGGGCCACCAGCTAGAGCTGACTCACCGAGTACAATGGCCAGCATCTGAGTGGCCTTCTTCTCCTTCTGCTGGGACAGCTTCCTTCGGCTCATTGTCTTGAGAGAGGTCCGGGTTTTGCCATTGGGCATGGTCTGGATCTCAAAGATCTTGGCAATCTTGGGGTGGTCTTTGGCATGCCCATTCTTCTCTGGTTTGGCGGGGCTGTCAGGATTGCTATGGAGGCCATGGTGGGATGGATCAGGGAGAGTTAGCTGGTGGTGGCTGGGTGGAATGGGGCTGTACCGGGTCCTCTCAGGCGGGCTGGTGCTCGACAGCATCTCCATCTCTAGCTCCTGAGCTCGTCGGGCAGCATCCTGCAGCAGAGGCAGAGAGCTTGGGGTGAAATTCCTAGACAGCAGTCATCCAACATCCTCAGTCTTCCTACCTCTCTGTAGATTCCTGCAAACATCAGGGTCACTCTACCAGGAAGACTCAGAGGACCATCCCTGAGAGGCAGGGACTTTCTGAGTACAGGATCAGACTCTCAGTAGTCCTTTGTGGCTACTTCCCAGAAGTCCTTTTGTGCAGCCTCAATACCCTAGAACCATTTGGGTGCTCACTACCAAGACACTTGTCTTTTTGTTACCTGACTGACGCTTACTAGTGGTAGCTAAATGCCAGACACCAACCAATCTGGCAGCTAAGATAAGCCCCTGACTGACATTCAGTCCTTCCAAGAACTGAGTTCTGACTACATAACGATGGCCCTCCCAATCCTCCCTGACAAGTTGGATCGAAGGCTCCTGAACCAACAGCATGCACATGTGGGCTGACCAGCCTGATCCAGAAGCCCCAGGGGCTGACCTTAGAGGTTCACATCTTCCCTGCTGGGCTGACTTTGAGGGTCCAGCATGGACATACTCATGGCCTCCCAGTTCTTCCTTAGGCTCTCCTGTCTCAGGCCTTGGAGGACTTAGCCCATCTTCTGAAATGCAGCCTAGGTGGAACTAGGCTGCTATCTTGGTCACATTATGAGTTCCTGTTTTGCCACCTGCTTCACAAACAGATCCTTAGACTCTTACCCTCGTAGTGCAGGTGAACTGTGGGGACCCTGATCCCAAAGGCATGTCATCAGACTTCACATGTGACTCTGTGGGTTCCTGACCCAGCTGGGGAATGAAACATCTGCTTCTTGGACTCTGGTGCTACTATCGCCAGGAAGAGACTGGGTCTGCTATGAGTCTACACTTCTGGGCTGTGCTTTCAGAAACTGCCCTCCTCCACAGCTGCTCTGTCCCAGCCTCCGGCCCCCAAAGCTGACTCCCCGTAATGTAGCACATGCTGGGTGCAGGAACTCAGATACAGAATCAGAAGTCATACAGACCTGTGCTCTGTACTGTTAGTTACTAACTGTTTAGACGTGAGTGAGTTACCTACAGTCTCTGAGCCTTTGTTTCCTCTTCTGTGAACTGAAGATCCAAAAAACCAATAAGACTTACCTCCCAGGGTCATGGTGAGGATTTGATGAGATAACAGAAAGCATGGCAGGTATTTATGAAGTGGACATAGCCCATATCATCACTTTTACTGTGTTATTATGGTCAGGTCCTGTCTCCCAACAAGCTTCTACTTATCTGCATCTTGCAGAATTGAGGCATCTCACTGTACACATGCTTGGAATTGTGTAAGGTGAGTGTGTTCTCAGCTGAGGCAGAGTAAGGTGTCAGGAGGTGCTCCTCCCTGAAACCAGCTGGTGAGGTCCCAGGATCAGGGATGGTGGGCTCCACTAGGGGCAGAAAGACTTGGCCTTGGGTTCCTAACCTGAACACTTACCATTCTCCGCCTGTTCACTGGGAAACTCCCATTAGACTTCATGATAACGGTGCAGAGTTTCATGTCCTCGGGGTGAGTGCAGTTGCCCTGTGGAGTGAGCCAGTACATGGGTCACACAAGGCAGTGAGGAGGAGGACTGATGAGGGGACAGAAACCCAAGACAGTCCATGAAGAACTCAGACTCTGAACATGGCCTCAACAATCAGGAAGAGTGTGGGCCACACAAATCAGTCAGGGCAAGAGTAAAGGTTGGTACTGGGAGGAGAAGAAGGGGGCAGGACCAGGGGCAAACGGACCTCATTCTTTGTGGAAGACCTACTCAGGGTCATGCTAGGCACATGCTCACATCCCTCTCCCATCAAATCTTCAGGACCACCCTGTGAAGTGCACATATTGACTTCCATCTAACAGAGGAGGAAACCTAGGCTCACAGAAGCTAAGCAACATGCCCAAGGACACACAGCAAAAAAAGTGATGATGTCAAGATCTGAACCTGATGCATCTAACCCAAAAGTTCTTCCTTCTTTTGCCCATGCACCGTGTTCCCTGGGGAGTCTTGAGTAGAGGCGAGAAATTGCATGATAAAAGAGCAGGGAAATAGGAAAGGAACCAGTGGGGGCGGGGGATTAAAGGAAAGGGAGGCTGGAGGTGTGCATGGGGGGGGGGGGGGACAGAGAGCAACAGGTAAAAAAAAAAGTTGACAGAAGCAAGAGGAAGAGAAAGAGAGACAGAGAGGCCAGAATGGGGAAGAAAACACTACATGAGGAAGGGAGGAAGGGGAGAGAAACCAAGGACAGGGCCTGGCAAGAACTGCTGTATTCAGCCACAAAGATCTCCACGTAGTGACTTTTGGTTGTTACCCAGCATGGACCCCCACCTTCCACTTGGAGACTCAGTCATTCCATTGGAGTCTGTACCCTCACCAAGCCCCAGAGAGTGCTACCCTGCTGTGATGTCTTAGGTCCCCACCCGAGTGTGGGCTGAGTTCTCTTAGTAATGCTTAGGTAGGGACGTTTGTTGGGGGTTATTCTTGGGACCTTAAGTGGGGCCTTCAGGTTGGCTCTGAAGGCTCGGCTGCTGCGTTTGGTGTTGACCCGCTTTCGGCGCTTGCGGAGGACAATGTAGATTTTGATGTAGACCAGCAGGGTAACGATGAAGGGAACGTAGAAGGAGACGATGGAAGAGTAGACCACAAAGGCAGGGTTGGCAATGATGCACTCGTTCTGGTCTGGGGGAAGGAGAAGCCCAGATGACAGTGTGTCAGCAGGCCCACCCGGCCACAGAGCCGCTGAGGACAATAATCTTTTTATTGGGAACCCAGAGCAATCTCATAAACTGATACCGATTGCTACCTGTAGATGTAAATAAATGTGCAGTAAGAATCAGTGCATGGAAACTAACCAGCAGCAACAAGCAAAGCTGACCCGACTGCTTCCAGGTTTCCTCATTTTTCTTCTCTCCATTGCTCATTAATTTTTTTCATTTCTGAGCACACAGGAAAGCCACAGTATTTAAACAGAATGACTCAAGAAATGTATTTTCAAAAGAGGAAGTCATTCTTTTAGTCTTTCCTTTATATTGGAAGTGGGGAAAGGAAAGGAGCTCTGTCTTGCTGTAACTTGGGGACCAAGATAACTTGGTCCTGATTGTTAAACGAGCTCACCTATGTTCTAGAATGTGATATGTGTCCCAGGTCCCTTACAGGTAAACCAGATGTCTGTCTATATCAAGACCTGAATGAATGCAAATATAATCAGCCCTATTCCCACGCCTGGGAGTTCCTGTGGCAGCAGCCTTCAGAACTACACGTTTCAGGCTTCACTGTAGCCCATCTAGCTATGACCTATGGGCACCTGCACAGCTCAGTGTCCCTCCTGAGAAGCAGCTCCATGCTTTTGGTGCTCTGTGCCTCCTATCTGAGATGCTCCTGACTCTTCCTCCTGCTGGAATGGGTATACAGCTGGCTGACCTCTCACTTGTTTCTAGCTGTGTTGCTGAAGTGACTCAGGCCTGATCTGGGCTCAGCAAACCCACTGAGCTGCAACCTCATCCCCAAGTATCATTGTCACAGGGGGATGAAAGCCCAGTAACTTCCCTTCTAAACACACTTGAGCATACATATTCATACACACTCATGTGAAGTTTGTAAAGATGTCTGGCTTGTTTCAACATAATAAACTAGGGCGAAAATGGCCAGACCTCCTCCTGAGCCCTTTTCCCCCACCCCTCATCCAGTGCCACTGGCCATTGTTTCCTCTTCAGCCCAACCTGGCGCAGCTCTGAGTTGGACTGGAGCTGGGAGATGTAACCTGACTTCCTAGGGAGTAGTAATGGGTTACCACTGGGCTTCCACCCATATCTGTATCAGGGACTCAGTCGCTCAGGGTCCTGCACAGGAGCAGGGACCTGTTGCCACCTGAAACCCAGGCAAAGGTAACACTTGCCTGTGTTGTTGAGTCCGAAGAGCAGCGGGCAGGAGATGGTGAAGGACAGGACCCAGACAATGGCGATCATGACTGTGACTCGGCGCTTGGAGCTATACCGTGTGTTGTACAGCATAGGCATGGCTACCGCTGTGTACCTGCAAGGTGGGGGACCCTGAGTCTGGGTTGCGGGCCCTGGGACCCCTCATTCTACAGAATGCACCACCATGCCCACCCCTGCTGCCTGGCCATGAAGCTGCCTACTTCACTCACTCTTCCTCTTTTCTCCTTGTTCAAACACAATCAGACACTTAACGAGAGGAGGCTACTGTGTACTTCCGGGCCATACCAATTATTCTAGTTAATTTCTCCACCTGGATCTTAGGCTTTCTGATCGGTCTTTGCATATTTGAAACTATATTTAGTGACCTGTTTTGGGACTGCAGAAGGTGAAGAGTTTGTGGACAAATTGATAGTAATGTCCAGCAAGGTTTAGCCCCAATTAACAAACAGTAAATGACAATAACGGTTAGTTTTTAATCCCCCTCATATCCTTTACCTAGCATTTCTCAATAACGTCTCATTTTCCAAGACTCCTGTGAGAAGGTAGCGTGGGGCCTCAGAAACCTTCATGGCAAGTTCATGAAAACGACTGAAAAGCCCCAAGAATACAGCCTAGTAAATGTGCATGGCCTGGACCACCTTGACCTGGTGACTTGTCTAGACATAAAACCAATGCTGTGGCTTCAGGGGCACTTTATCATCAGCATCTAGAAAATAAACCTTGGAGTTCACAGAACTGCCACAATCTGCCCATGGACACATTAAGGGGTGATAGGATTAGGGCTCCAGTCAGAACTAACTCTTTCATACCAGTTACCGTCTGAGCAGTCTTTGGGGGAGTCTGCAGTATCCTAGGGAACACACACACACACACACACACACACACACACACACACACACAGAATCCCAGAGTCTGACCCTGAGGATAGCTGAAACAGCCAGAAAGGTGAATGGCCAAGGTAGGCTCCCCTACCCCTGCTGGCCTCACCTGTCGATGCTGATGGCACACAGGTTCAGGATGCTTGCCGTGCACATCATGACGTCCAGAGTAACAAAGATGTCACAGTGAATCCTGCTGAATTTCCACTCGCCCACCACCTAGTGACAAAGGAACATAGTGAATGGACAGGATTGTGGAGATTAATGTAGCCTGTGGCACGATCCTACCTGCCAGCACCAGGGGTTGTATTAGGTTCTTTTCTCACTGCTGTGACAAAATGCCCAACAAAAGCACTTAAGGAAGGGTTTATCTGCCTCACATTGAGGGTGCTGTCCATCATGGCAGAAAGGCATGGTGCTAGGAAGCAGAGCAAGATGGCCACTGGTGCTCACCTTGCTTTCCCTTTGTACTCAGTCCAGGTCCCCAACCCTCGGAGTGGTGCTGCCCATATTCAGGGTGCATCTTCCCATCTCAGGTAATCCAACCTGGACGCTCCCTCACAGACATGCCCAGAGGTTTGTCTCCTAGATCGTTCCAGAACCTATCAATTTGACCATCCACATTAAACATCACAGGAAGTCTTACACGTCACCTGGTGAGCAGCAATGGGGAGTGACCCGTACCATGGGGACTTGAGGCGTGTGCCCCTGGCCTCTCTGCTCTCAGACACGTACCTCCTCTTTGTACCAAGAACCGTGTGCTAGAAGCAAGATGACCCACCCAACTGGAATGCCTCCACTTCCAACCTTGAGCTGCAAAACACTCATGTGATCACCTAGAGATCTCTACGTGCTCCAAAATTCTGGATCCTTCAATTTGGCACCTACTTATCACACAGACAGCTGTAGTAACTCTGTTTTCTAATGTTTTATGTTTCTAATGCTCTGGTATTTGTAAACTTGGAGAGAGATTACTCCTCTCAGGGCTAGCTGACTCCTAAACAGAGTAGCCTGCTTACTTGGGGACACATCACCTTACTGACACAAGTCAGTTCCTCTCTTCTATTCCCACCAGGGCACTATATCCCCTGTCCTAGGTCATTCAAGGATCAGATGACAGTGACTAGTGACTGTGTCTAGCCTGAAGCTATGAAGCTGTTCACACTCCATGATCCTAAGTGCTGACTCTACCCTGTCTTGTATTTCCCATGGAAAAACCCAATAAAGGATGTGTGGCCTAGGCTTCCCCAGAAGCCATGCTTTTGCCTCCTGGCACAAGCCTGCTCTTCTCCCTGTGCCCTGCATGGCATGCTCACTGTATCTCTCCTTCCTAGGAGACCCAGGAGTAGCATTAAACTTTTTTTCCGGGGGGACTGCTCTTCCTCTGTTGTTATTCAGTCATATTTCTGTCAATTAAACCCCAGGTATCATTTTAGAATTCCCATTTTACCACCGAGACAACTGAGCCTCAGAAAAGTACAGTGATTTGTTCATGGCCCTTTAGAAGGTTTCTCTAGTCCTATTCTGACCCAGGTTCTGGGTGAGCCAGGCAAACTCCCATGTCTAGACTAGTGTGTGTGACACAGTCAAGGCCCCCAAACTGCTAAGCACAATGGTGAATACAGTGGCTTTCTATGGAACAGGAAAACATATCTGCTCATTTTTTATATTTTGAGGAGAGTCTGTATCAGAGGTTTAGGAACACCAAGCTGGGCTAAGGAAGGGTGCTGGGGTGACCCATCCTCAGTATGGTGTAAAACAAGAGGTCCAGCTCCAGCCAGGAACATTTTACAACTTCCCACCACATACTCAAAGTCCCATATGCTCATCCACATACCCGTACCCTCCATGCCTCCGAGTCAAGCTCACAAAGACACATTCTTACACAGCAGACTGACCCCAGCAATGCTGGAAGTCCAGAGAGATCCAACCACAGGGGAAACCTTTGGCTTCTACCCACAGATAAAAGAGAGGAGTAAGAATGGAAAAGTCCCTCGGGAGACTGGAGCCTGCAGCGTGCTTCAGCTTAGCATGGCACACGGCTAATTGTCATATTGCTCATCCCTAACAATGCTCTTTCTTCTGTTCTCAGAAACATTGGCGTGTGAGCTCCATGAGGAGCAGTGCAGCTGCTGTCACCTCATGTGGACAAAGCAGCAACTTCTCCTGGAACACAGGAAGCCTTTCCTGTGGATTGTCTTCTAGGGCCTCACATGAGCCTGTTGCAATTCTCTCCTGGCCCCCTGCTCTGTGGGAGCTGACAGCTGGATGTCCCATTATGGGAGATGGCTGTGCCTTCAAGGCACCAGTGGGCAGGGCTCCAGGTCCATGTGGTTCACAACAGCCTTGAAGGCCCTCCTGAGCTTAGTAACTGGGAGCTGCCTTCATGTCCCTGGGAACCCAAGTCTGAGATATCAAGGCCCTCCTCCCCATCTTCCCTGTCCCCTTTCCCCATCTGCCACTTATCTTTTCTATAAATACCTGTTGAGCAACTTAGTGTGTGCCACGTTTTCTCCTAGACTTCTGGGTACAGATGTGAATGGTTCAGACGGTCCCTGACTTCAGGGAGCTTTCAGCCCCTCTCCACAGTGGCCTATCAGGACCCCCAGGAAAATGAAGAGGCTGCTTCTGTGGTCCCAGAAGTGGCTGCCCTGGGGAGTAGTTAGGAGCACTGACTCTAACACCCAAGAAAAACTCCCAGCAGTCATTATAGAACATCTACAGCACTTCATGTCATTTATTGCTCTCAAGATTCTTACAAGAATGGTTTGCTGATTTGGGTATGGTGGTTCATGTCTATAATCCCAGCACCTATGAGGCTGAGGCAGGAGGATTACTATGTTTGAAGCTAGCCTGGGCTAAAAGTAAGACTCTAAAAACAAAAGACCTAAAACAACACAACACTATCATGTGTAGGGGCTAGAGAGATAGCTCAGTAGTTAAGAGCTATCTTAACTGCTCTTGCAGAGGACCAAGCAGTAGTTTGGTTCCTAGCACCCACATGGCAGCTAACAACCTTCCAGTTCCAGGGGAAATCCAATGCCCTCTTCTGATCTCCATGGGCATTGCATGATATGATTATACTCACATACATGCAGGCAATATACTCATACACAGAAAATAAAATAAGAATAATAAAATATCTTTAAAAGAAATACCATGTGTAGTAAATATAATAATGAAAACAAAATTTGAAAGATAAAAAATATGACTAAGTAACAGCTATAGCTAATAAAATTCATTAAGTAGAACTCAAAAAAAAAAGTAAATAATGAAAATGGATTGTTTATTTCCATTCATAGTTCAAGGAACTGAAGCTCAGAGAGGTCACAAAGCATGGCCAAGTTCACACAGCAAGCATCCAGTGGAGATGGAAATGGGGCAAGTTCTTCAGGCAATCCATCCCATGCTCTCTCCAAGGTTTCCCTGGAAGGGACCAGTCAACTTGTCGAAAGAGGACATCAGACATGAAAAGTACCTGGCATGGCAAGTAGTCAGCACCATTCTGAGGACAGACAGAGTCAGAGTCAGAGAAGAAACCAGTGCCCCAGGCCACTCAGGTTTATCAGCACCTGAGAGACTGAAACCCAACACACCCAGGGCTCCTCTGCCCTTCTGGGCCTCAGTGAGTGACATTCTTGTGCAGCCGCCATCTTCATGACAGGCTGTTACAGACACATCACATTCATGGAATGAGACTGACAAACCTTGGTGACAAGGGTCATCGGTGACTCTGGAAGCTTCCAAGTAGCTGGCTCTGCTTGAGTTATCAAGAGTCTCTTCCCCCGTCTTCCCCACCCCTTCCTCCCACCCGCCATCTGTCTTTTCTACAAATACCTGTTAAGCAATTTAACACTCTTTTCTAGACTTCTGGACACAGATTAAATGGTTTGGACAGTCCCTGCCTTCAGGGATCTTTCAAATCCTCTCCCCACTGGCCTATCTGGAGCCCAGAGAAAGGAAGAAGCTGTTTCTATGGTCCCAGGAGCAGCAGTCCTGGAGAGTAGTTAGGAGCAGTGACCCCCTCCTCCAGGATAATTCTCCCTGAAGCATCATTTCTTGCTATAAGCCTTCCCAGCACCTCCTGCCTGGGCTGTGTGCCCCCATCTCTGTCTCCAGAAGATCATGCTGTTAGGCTCTAACAGTTTCTTCATTTATGACAAGAGAATGCTTCAGCTTCTAGTTCCAAGGAGAGAGTAGGGCAAAGTGCTCAACGAAGTTGGATAAGCGAACAAATGACTCTGAGATCCCTTTTCAATCTCATCTTCTCTTCTCGAAAAGGCTCATAGTGACTCCCACCTTCAAGGATGTGATACTCAATGGAGTCAGCATGCAGGCAGGATGCCCCTGGCTGCCCTCTCTCAGAAATCTCTTCCTCTGCCATCCAGGTAGAAAAGAGCAGCCAGGTTCTGTACCTGGCCCTCTTACTCCAAAACCAACTTACATATCTGAGGAGAATAGTCCCAACACAGACAAGGGCTGGAATAGCAGGCAATTGGAGGGCATTTAACATTGCTATAAATGGAGGGTAGAAAATTCTAGATGACAATGATGCATCTTGGAGATGGAACAGTATGTGGTTGAGAGGACACATTGAAAGGACATTGGGTGAGACTCCACATGGGACATTTCTGTAGGGACAACAAATACCTGAAACCATGTCCTTCAGGTGGGACTCACTGCCCAGCTCTTCTTTCAGTGGGTTCTACAGTGGAATAGACCTCAGAGTCATTTGTTCGTTCACTCATCCAACATTGTTGAGTACCACCCTGTAAGAATGCCTTTCTGTACCTCCCCCTCTAAAGCACTCAGCTTCTCCTCTATGGTAACAGTGAGAAAAGCAAACTGTCTTTGAGAGACTGAGATTCCTAGGGATCCCAATACAGCTGGTATAAAGATTTGTCCCTACCCTGGGAACTGACAGCGACGTGGAAGCTGGAGGCCAACAGAACCCTGAGCAGAACATGTCTTACACTGGAAGAGGGTCTCTCTTTCCCTGGGTATGAAGGGGAAGGGAGGGTCCTCTCTGAGTGGAGAGGTGCTGGATATCTGTCACCATCTTCACTTTCATCATCCTTGCCATAGGCTAAGCCAAGTACCTTTCTAAACACTTTTCATATGGTGACTCATTTGATCATCAAGCAATCCTACAAGGTAGGTACTATTACTATCGCCATTTTATAAATACAGAAACTGTGGCACACAAAGTTTAGTTGTGCTCCCAATTCCCCCACCACTTTTCCTTGGTTACCTGAGATAAAGGACCCATCTTTGGAAGAAAGCTGGGCACATCAGGCCTGAGAATTAAGAGGCTTTTAGGAGACAGACCTAAAAGGGCTGAAGAGATGGCTCAGTGATTAAGAGCACTGGCTGTTCTTGCAGAGGAGTCAGGTTTGAATCCCAGCACCCACATGGTTAACAACTGTCCACAACTCCAGTTCCAGGGTATCTGACCCCCTCTTCTGTCCTCTGTGGGCATTGCATGACACGGGTGCACTTACCTACATGCAGGCATACCATTCATACACATAAAATATAAATAAATAAATAAATAAATAAATAATAAATAAATAAATAAATAAATAAGTAAAATAAGAGATCCAGAGATAGTACAGGGGATGAAGAGTCAAGGGTCTTCACCAGTGAGCCATGAGAAACTGCAGTAGGGTGTGGGGGCTGTGGTAATTGCTTTCGTCAAACCACCACAATCTGAGAAGAAAGTCTCAGTGAGGAATGATTTGGATTGGGCTGGCCTGTGGGCATGTGAAGGACTTTCTTAGATGGGTAACTGAGGTAGGAAGACCCACCATGAATATGGTGTTTCATGGGTAGGGTCCCAGACTATAAGCAGTAAGCATGCGTGCATTTGGCTCTCTCTGCCTTTGACTGTGGATGTGATGTGACTAGCTGCTTCAAGCTCCTGCCTTGACTTCTCCCAATGATGGGCTGTACCTCAGAATTGTGAGCTAAAATAAACCCTTTCTCCCCTAAGCTGCCTTTCTTTTAAAAATATATTATTTTTAAAAATTTTTTTATGTGCATGAATATATTGCCTGCAGTATGTAAGGGTACCTGTGTCGTGCAATGCCCACAGAGGTGAGAAGAGGACATCAGATCCCCTGGAACTGGAATTACAGGTGGTTGTTACCACCATGTGGGTGCTGGGAACCAAACCCAGGACCTCTGCAAGAGCAACCAGTGCTGTTAACCACTGAGCCATCTCTCCAGCGCCACACCCCACCCCAAGTTGCTTTTGGTCAGGGTATCTAATTACAGGAATAGAAACAAATCTAGAACCGTGCCCTTCTTCAATACCTAATCATCTTCCTATGTAACCAGACTCAAGGCCAGCTTCTGTCCTGGACAGGATCCTGGGCAGAGAAAGCACAAGCACCCAACTTATGCACACTGAAACTCCCTAGTTTCCCTATATCTGCCTGCCAGGCCTGGAGAGTATTGAAAGGAGGTGGAACCCACTTAAGGTTTCTTCATCAGCGCTTTTCTCTTTGTTGTGAGGCTTGAGTGAAGACAGGTAGCTGCTTCTCAAAGCCGCTGGTTGATGTTCTATAAACTGAGCATCAGTTCCTAGGGTTCTCATTAATGTATATGATCTGCTGACACAGGAATCTAGGCAGGGGGCCTAATCTCCAGTTTGAGGTGCAAAGCTTGGCTCTGTGCTGGGAAGCTTCACTGTTCTTTCTGGGAAAGGGGCTTCAGCATGTGTAGTTCATGGCTGCCTCCACCAAGATAGGGACACCAGCTTGGACCTCCCATCTGTGTGAGGCTGGAGAAGTCACTTAACTCCTCTGACCAGCTGGTTCATCATCTGCAAATGGCAATAATGCCAGCTCCTCCTGGAGCCGCTGGGAGGGTCATACAGGAAAATGCTGTGTATTAAGTACTTACCCTGAGGCCCTGCACTTAGAAAGCACTCCGTAAGTGGCAGTTGTGATTAGTAAACAATCTATTTGTTCCATAAAGAGAAAAACTGAGTCCAAAGGAGACAGAGAGGCCACCAGGGGAACTCTCAGAAACCACTGAGGACTTAAAGTCCAGGCTCCTGCCCAGGGTGCTCCTGGACCAAGCATTGAATCAAGGCAGGGCCCAGACCTACCTCCAGGTAGACAACCCAGGGCATGACCAGCGTGGCCACCAGGAGGTCAGCCACAGCGAGGCTGACGATCAGGTAATTGGTGGTGGTCTGCAGCGCCTTCTCGCGGGACACAGCCATGCACACCAGCACGTTGCCGAAGACAATGATGAAGATGAGGAGGGTGAGCAGCATGGCATAGTAGTTGTAGTGGGGCCTGTCCACCTTTCCTTCCGACCCATTGAAGGGCCGACTCCAGTTCTGCCTCTCCAGATCATCATCATACCAGGACAGGTTCAGTGGATCCATCAGGGCAGTGGAGCCACTGGGTGGCAAGGCTCTGTCCAGGAGAAACGGACACAGAGAGTAAGCAGGAGGGCCTCCGAGGTACACTGCCTCCCAGAGGGGGCTCCCTGCCCAAACCAAGCATCGAGGGAAGAAAATCCTCCAACTTAGGCTTTTAGCATTTATATTTAATGGATTTTTAAATAATGTTGGAGCCTGCTTCTCTTTTACTAGCGAGTTCTTGCAGATGGTCAAAGAATTAGCAAGTAGCCATTTTTTTTTTTTGGCTTCCTTTTTTCTTTAATGAAAATCAGAAAAGAGAAATTTATGCAATGCAGTCACATTGGGAAGAAAGACAAAGAGATCCAGTGATTCTGCCCAAGTTTATCTTTGGGTTCCAGACCTGAGGGCAGAACTTAAAACAGAAAGCAAGAGATATGTAACTAAACAGCCCAGCCAAGGTGTGGTCCTCTGCTTACCACTGTCTGCTCCAAGTTTCTCCTCCAAGGGCAAGGATACATTTTTTTCAAATGTAATCAAGTAAATGAGTTTCAAAGAGCTATTCATTCATTTCTTCACTTATTCAACCCACTCATAAGCCAGTAAGCTAGTTAGGAATTTCAGCTTTTACTGGTAGGAGCAATAATAACCATTCATTACTTCTTGATTCTATAACTCTTTATCAAGCATTATTCTATACAGTGCTAGAAAATACAGGTAAACAATAGATGTCTGAAGGATGAGTAGGAATTAGTCAGATAGAGGATTAGGAATTGTGAAGACAGAAAGCAGCACTTGCAAAGCAAATGGTTAGGTAGCAGGTGCCATGGTGGAGGGCTTGAAATAAATTTGGGAGAGCACGAGATGCCTAGAGGGTCTTGGCATAAATTGAATATGAGAAGCTGCATAAGTAACCTAACAGAGGGCCTTAAAAATCATGGTAGGAGTTAGACTTGACCCTAAGGACAGCAGAAGCCACATGAGCACTTCTGTCTTACAGAATGATGAGTCTGAGCACAGTGTATAGAGTTGATGGAAGAGGCCCACAGCAAAAGCAGGATATCAGTGGGAGACTATTGTAGGAATCCAAGCAAGAAATGATGAGGTTCTGCAGGATACATTCAATGGCAGCCTGAGATGAAGGAGGAGGAGTCTGCCAAGCAACTAAGTGGTGGAAGATGACTCATCCAGGGAGAACATAGCACAGATCCAACAGCAAATGATTCTGCTCAGCTAAAAGTGTAGGGCATGATCATGAGTTTAAGGAAAATTAAGCCAGGGGACATTTATAGGCCAGACTAGGTCTTCTCAGCATGGGAGGCCTTAAAAATTTGCGAGTAGAGGAATAGCCCCATTAAATTGGAGTTCTGGAAAGTTCATTGGCTCCTGTGAGTGGAAGAGGGCTTGAGGTGAAGTGAGGTGAATGTATTCAGATAAGAGATGCTAATCACTGAGTGAAAGCAGTGGGAGTAAAAGTGGAGCTACCTTAGAAATCAGCCTCATGGAACGTGGTTGTTGAATAGATGAGGACAGAGCGGGAAGGAGAGTAAGAAAGGAAGGAAAGTCAAGGACAGCTCATGGATTTCCACCTGAGCTCTGGGAGGGTGTCACTGCTGTGCTCACAGAGCCAAAAGAGCAGAGGAGCTCAGGAATAGACTCTGGAGGCATCAGGCTCAGCTTGTGTTTTGGTTGTGAATGCAACATCATGTGCATATAATATAGTTAGAACACTGCTAGCAAAAGTGTTCCTATTACACAACTTGGATTGAAATTTATCAGCATTCTGAGACATTCCACACAAAGCACTATGACCTCCAACAGCTCTGCCACCCAGACGGACTTGAAAACAACCACCAGTCCATGCCTTTTGGGATGAAAATGGTATGATGCGCAAATCAGGAAGTAGGTATACTCGTTGCAGTGGGTTCGAGGGAGGGAAACATGGAGAAGGATCTGTCCAGCTCCCTACCCTCACCCCTGCCATATCCACTCTCCCACCTCCCAGCAGAGGAGGATGAGTGGTACCCTATTCAGCACTATCACTGAGATCACTGGGGAATGTGAAAGTGGGTGGAATGGAATGTGGTCATGTGACCAATCGTGCAGCAAGTTTCCCACTTCTAAGGCAGTAGCGCATGCTTTCTTATTTATTCTGTATTCAGCAAAGCCAACTGGTCCCTCTTCCCATTTGGAGCACACAGCAGGAAACCTGCATGTAGATATTGATCTGGCAGTTGATTTATTCAATCAGCATCTATTGAACCTGCTACACATCTACACATGAAGTATTGTGTGAAGCACCATTTGAAACAAGGAATACTCCTATCTCTTTCTCAGCATGGAGGTGGCAGGGGTTGGGTGGGTTCTTGAACTAAGAGCCTAGCACATACTAGGCAAGTACTTTACCACTGAGCTACATCTTCCTACATTTTTACAGTTTTACAGTTTTATTCAGACTAGCCTTGAACTCACTCTTTAACCCAGGCAGGCCTTGAACTGGTGATCCTCCTGCCTCAGGTTTCTTAGTAGCTAGAACAGGCCTGTGCTACCAAGCCTGGCTCTACCCTAACTCTGTCTGCTCCTCTTCCCGTTGCCTTAGTTCCCTTCTTGGTCTGACAAGTGGCATCTGCCATGACTCTCAGTTCCCTATATCCCCTACCTCCACCCATTCTTCTATCAAACCAGACTTACATTTCTGCAGAACAATGCTGACATAAGATGATTGTATCGTGTACTTACAAAGGCTTTGGGGGTTGCAAAGTGATTTTTCTACCTCATTTATTCTCCAAATATCTGTACCTTTCAGTTGTTATCTTTACTTTACAAATGAAGGATGTATCCAGAATATTCTATTCTGAGCTTACGCATGCTTCAAAACAAGATTGGCTCAGAATCTTCCTTTCCTGGAATCTGCCTGGACCCTCTCCCACAGCTCCATCCCATAGTTCTGCTCTAGAATATACCCCACCTGTGTGTTGGCTTTCTCACTGAGGTGCAGCCTTCTCAAGAACAGTACCTGCTTCATCTCATGGGGCAGTCAAATACAAGGCACACTAGTTTGTTCTTTTTTGACTTCCTGCTCTGTAAGTTATAGGCTGTGAGTATTGAATAAATGTTTGCTGAACTGAATCAAAGACTCTGCCAGAATACCCAGGAATAAAACCCATCAGCAGCCTTGAAATGTGCTTGCTAACACAGACCACTAGGCTCATAAATACCCCCCAATGAACCCCTAAGAGCATCACGGGTATTGCATGTTAAGGTCTATTGATGAGCTGAATTGTTTGCCTCATACCTGGATTACAAAATTTGTATGTTAAAGCCCTAATTCCAGTACCTCAGCCTGTGATTACATCTGGAGACAGGGACTTTAAAAGAGAAATTAAGTTAAAATGAGGTCACTAAGGTGGGTACATCCCAATCTGACTTGTGCCACTATAAGAAGAGGAAACTTGGTGTCTGTAAGTTCAAGGCCAGCCCGTTGGTCTACATAGTGAGTTCCAGGCCAGCTGGTAAAAAAAAAAAAAAAAAAAAAACTTGGGTGCAAAAAGAATCCAGGGTTGCACACATAGATGAAAGATCTTGTGTGGATGCTGTGTGAAGGAGAAAGGGCTCCATGATGAGGTCAAGTTCATCCCTGGGCCCTGGCTGCTGAACGAACCTACAGAATGACCATCAGAATAAGGCAGCAGCTACCCTGGAGAGCCCAACTTTCTCAAGTCACCTGCTGGTGCCAGTGACTGTAAGGCTAAGCACCACATTTCTTAGGCTCTCATCAAGTGGACTGTAAGATGTATTGTTGATTTATGCGACATTAGGAAAGAAAAAGAACACTATTAAACTCCAACACAACCCTCGGATCCTGTCAGTTATAAAATGCATTCTGACGTCTTAGCCACTGAAACAGGGGAGGGCATTGCATCTTGGACTGGATAAAGCAGAATACCTCTCTGGAATTTTCAGGCCTGAGAAAAACTGCCAGGCCCAGGCTCCTGTTCTCTAAGCAATCTCTTTCCTCTTTTCCTCTTACATCTCTGTGGCATGGGTTGTTGTTTCTGGACAACCATGATAAGGCACAAGGGACACCTGGAGGAATCCCTTTCACTCCTGCCTTCTAATCCATAAGGTTTTCTATCCTGGCCAGAGATTGTCCCTGTGGGCAGGACAGACAGAAAGGCTCTTTCCGGTACCCTGATCATGTCCTAACTACAAAGCAGCCAAATGAGATCAATGTCTACTTGTGCAGGGGACAGGAGAAGCCACACAGCACCCGGGACTCTGGATTTTCCAGGAAAGATCAAATTTTTTGGTTTTCGTTTTTCCTCCTGAAAACATTGGCCAAGGCAAATTATTCACATAAGTCCTAGGAGTTTTCAGATAAATAAGATCACATGGGTTTTTAAAACTCTGTTGTCAGAAGATTCTGATTGGAGTTTTAAAAATATAATCAAGTTACTCGGCACCTTCCAAATGTCACCCCTATGCCTTTTAGGGGGCTCCTTTCTGCAGAAATACTTACAAAACCTCCAAATCACAGTCCCCAGTCAATGACCATTTAGTGATCAACAAATACAGACATATGGCCAGGGCTATATCTCAGTCCTTACCAGCACAGCCACTGAACCATATCTCCAGGGAGAGAGATGATTGATCTAACACTGAGGTGCCAGACGCCCTCAAGGAGTGACTGCGCCCTCTCCCCAAGGCTTCCTCTACATCTCCCTCAACATCAAAGAAAGGCTGGTAGTAACTGCTCCCCACCTCACCAGGCAGATGCTAGTAGATAAGGTCCCATGGGTGCTGTGGGACCATGGATGGTTTCCTTCTCAGCTGTCTTAATGACAGACAGGGTGGTGGGGAGACCTTTTATATAGGTGGCCTACAAGCTTCAGGCCACTGAAGTACCAGAAACCACCTGTCCCTCATCTATTTCCAGTATTCGACTGTCTTGTGTCCTTGCTTAGAAAGGCAAAGGTCAACTAAAAGATCTTCCAGAACCACCTATTTTGGTGCTCAGTACTCCTCTGCATCATGTTCCCCACAAACACCCAGCGT